GCATCTCTACGCTTTACCGAGTAATCTAAATTTTCTACCGAACTTTTGCTCCAGTATTACTGTGCATATTAGGAACATGACCTTGTATCTTCCATGTATGTATCATGTGATAACTCTCTCATCTCCTTTCTAGAAAGTACATTCTGAGTGTTTTAAAGTTGTCCCAATAATTTATGGGAGCTTTTCATGTCTATGCATGCCATATGTTCTCTGTAATCCCTACATTTCAGAAATCAATCCTGTTTTGAAAGGGAAAGCAAAGCAGCATTCAAGACGAGAGAGCATAAGTGATTTGAACAGTAAAAGCATAGTGGTGGAATCCCTGGATTTGAAGGTTCTTATAATTATTCTGGATGATGACAGGTTTGATGTGTCATGCTCATGAATCATCAAGTCATCTGCCTATTATTACCAGATCCTTTCATTCCATTTTCCTTGTAAGAGAAGACCCGATTGCATATTTTTCCCTGTATTTCATACAAGTTCAAAATTTTTACCATACCTAAATACGTACGTATTTGGAATTTATCACCTTTAAAAAACATGTTATTTTCTACTGCACAGGCAAAGACTGTTTATATCGGCTTATGGTTTTTTAACGTCTTCCACAGAGATAACTTTTCTTGCCGATTTTTGTATCGTCTGCTATAGATGACACGATGACACGTTGGCTATAACTTGTATTTTTTGTCAATATGTGATACATGTATAAGAATGAGAAAAAAACAGTGTTGCCAGTACTGTGCCTCGGGGTACAGAGCTTTCCTTGTGCTCTGATTTGTTTTTTTTATATTGACTGTTGCTGTTTGCATTCTGTTGACAGAAAATTGAATATCTATCACCCTACTTTACCTGTTATGGTAAATATATGGTCCAATGGTCATAATTATCAAATGAATTCATTTTGTTTTTTCTAATGCTTCTGTAATTTTGTCATAGTTGTTGAGTAACTGTGAAAGACAAGATCCTCCTGCTTGGTTCCAAGGATCAACACCCTCATGGCCTGATCTCTGACCAAGCCTCCTGGCTGATGGTCAGAATAACCAGGATGTTTGATGCAGCTACTTGCAGTCTGACATGTGAATCACAGCTGATCAGGTATCGCATTTGAAGGTGTTTATCAAGTTCTCTTTTGAACATGGTAAGAAGTTGACTAGTTATGCCCCTTATGTTTAAAGGGAAAGTATTGAAAAGTCTTGAGCCCTTAATTAATGTTGATAGAATTGGGTCTTAGCATAACTATTGAACCTTCACTTTTCAACCAGGATATTTTGCACATCCAGCCAAGCCTCGGGGTCTCATGAAATTAATTTCATGTACAGATATCGAACCAGTCCCAATATTTTCCAATTGTAAATTTTTATGCATCTCTCTCTCTCTCACCTGGGCTCTACAGAATGCAGGTTTAAAAATTGTAAGCAGTCCCAGTAATATAGATGTTTTATTAACTAGATTTGGGCAGTAAAAGACCTTTGAACATTCTCCAGGTCAGTAATTTCTCCAACTTTGAATGAGGCTCATAGTGTGTGCAATAATATTCCACCCTAGAGAGCATTAGTGTCTTGAAAAGCATAATGGTTCCTACATTATCCTTTGTTTGAAAGGTTCTTGATATCCAACCTGTCATTTTTCTTGCAGGTATTACAGCTACATTATTGTGTTCTTTAAAAGTTAGGTCTACCAACATGATTACGTATACTGTACTCCCAAATATTTTATAGTGTTTTCATTCTATAATATGCAAGCAATCTATAATTTCTAGCCAATAATGATGGGAATCATTATCATCGGGAATAATGATGTTCAATGACCTAACGTTTAGGGAGCATAACCAAGCAAATATTGCGTCAGCCAGAAAAATGATCCAATGGATTACGAGAACTTTCAAATCCAGGGAACCCATCACAATGGTTGTACTCTTAAAGTCACTTGTGTTGTCCCTTCTCGAGTACTGCTCAGTACTCACTTCCCCCTTCAGAGCAGGAGAGATTGCTGAAATAGAGGGAATACAGAGAACATATACGGCACGCATAGACGAGATAAAACACCTAAATTATTGGGATCGTCTCAAAGCTCTCCAAATGTACTCACTAGAAAGGAGACGAGAGAGATACCAAATAATATACACATGGAAAATACTAGAGGGACAGGATCCAAATCTACACAGTAAAATAACAACGTACTGGAGTGAACGATATGGAAGAAAATGCAGAATAGAACCAGTGAAGAGCAGAAGTTCCATAGGCACAATCAGAGAACACTGTATAAACATCAGAGGTTCGCGGTTGTTCAACGTCCTCCCAACGACTATAAGAAATATTGCCGGAACAACCGTGGACATCTTCAAAAGAAAACTGGACTGTTTTCTAAGAGAGATTCCAGATCAGCCGGGCTGTGGAGAGTATGTGGGCCTGCGGGCCGCTCCAAGCAACAGCCTGGTGGACCAAACTCTCACAAGTCAAGCCTGGCCTCGGGCCGGGCTTGGGGAGTAGAAGAACTCCCAGAACCCCATCAAGCAGGACTTGGGCCAGGCTTGGAGAGTACAAGAACTGTGACTCTAGAACCCCATCAAGCAGGTATCAAGCAGGTATCAATACCTTGCTTCCTCCCTTGTAGAGCTATATCTACATTTTTACGTGATTCTGGTACCTTACCCATATCCTAGCTTTTTCTCCATCAAACACTGAGCACTTTAGCATTTTGCATTTCTTTGTAAGTATGGAGTTCCAGGAATTGGGATCGAGTGCAAAGGCATGTTACCAATTTCTCTCAAAGTCTGCTGTGCTCATGTTAATATCAGTTATGTGGTCCCAGTTTTGGATATCATTCATAAAATATGCAAATTTTTGTCATTTGTGTATGAACCTTGATTTGTAATTAAGGTCCTATACTGGTGGTTTTTAATTTTGTGTGTGAAAGTATTTTGAATTTTTTCTAATTTTTTGTATGGTTTTTTGTTCCATTTATATCTCTTCGTCTAGTAAGATCACTTTAGTTTCTACTCTATTTATTCAGTGTTGTAGGGTGGCATACTGGGGAAGGTCAGTAGTTCGACCTTGTGGGGACCTCAATAGAAGCCTATAGTATATACAGTACATACTGAGCACACGTGCTTCTTGTCCCCAACAACAAATAATTTTCTTAGTTGTGAAAGTCATGTTTGCTCAAACATTTCAGTTATTTTCCTCCTCCTTTATTGGCATCTGCATTCTCTTTCTAAGCTGATCCTCTTTTTGATTTTCCACAAAGTAACACATTTCAAGCAGACTTTGAACACTACAGCAGCCAATTGTTCTATTCCTTGCATGGGAGTTTAGGTACTTAATACTGTTTCCCATTGGATGTTTGCTACTTCTATGTTTGTTTATCCCAATCAATCATCTTATTGTTGAAACTGAATTTATTGAACAAGCTCTTCAAAGTTTGTTAATCATTTTGTATGTATTATGTGCATTAATATTGGTTTAAACTTCAATGAGTTTGTGGTGTGGTGGCCAGTGGAAGGAAGGGAGGAGGTGAGAGATCAGTGGCCAGTGCTTGCCTATTAGTGACTATGGGGCAGCAAGATCAAGCTCCTTATGCCCCCTCCTCCTACCTGTTTATACCTGGAGCATTAATTACCCCTCTCAATATTAACATTTTTCATCATGCTTCTTTTTTAAATTTGTGGATGGAATTGGCTTCAAGTAACCTCTTCCATTCCACCTGACAACCAATCATACAGGGATCAAAACCTTCCATAAACCTTTTCCACCGTTGAAAATCCAGTTTCCACCAGGCGTTTTGTCCTACCAGTGGGGGGGGGGGAGACGAGTGGCCAGTGGGGGGGGGGAGAAAGACGAGTGGCCAGTGGGGGAAAGAGGAGGCAAGTGGCCAGTGCGGGGAAAGAGGAGGCAAGTGGCCAGTGGGGGGAAAGAGGAGGCACGTGGCCAGTGGGGGGGAGGAGGCAAGTGGTAATCGAGAAAAGTGACAAGGACAATGGGGGATTTTAATATCAAGTGAGAGTAGTCAGTGGATTAAAACAAGTCAATAAAAAGATATGAAATCAAGGGGAAAAAGATACAAAACAAGTGGTACAGAAAATGAGGCACGATAGTACGATGGGAGGGAGAGTTATGATTAGTTGTGGGCAGGATGGGTGAGGGAGAGTTTCAAGAGTTTTCCAAAGTGGGTATGAGGATCAGGGGACACTGAGGGAGGTCATGCGTTAGATAGTGTGTACACAGGCAAAGTGTCAAGGAATTATAAAGCGGGCAGTGAAGCTGACAGCTCAGAGGGGCAAAGGAACGGGAGAGGCTGGAGATAGGGCGTGGGTCCCAGATGGTGAAGAAACAAAGGGGAATGAAAACAAGTGTATGCACAAGGGGCAGAACAAATCCATATACAAAGTGAAGAGACATTTGTTAAATAAGGGTATGGTATGGTATGGGAGTATGGAAGATGGGAGGGGAATATGGGTAAGAGTATGGAAGTTGAGAGGGGAATATGGGTAAGAGTGTGGAAGATGGGAGGGAAATGTGGAAGCAGCGAGGAAAGAGAAGGCAACACAGCAGCAGCAGTGAGGGGGGTAAGAGTCTAGACAGGAGGATGAAGAAAGTAGGAGTGTAAAGCTGAGATTAGAAAGTTGATGAGAGAGGAACCGAGAAGATAAAAGGTAGGGGAGAGTGGAAGCTGGGAGGGGAAAAAGAGGGTAAGGAAAGTGAAGGTTGCGAGGGGAGAGCGTTGGCAAGAAGCGAGGGCTGGGGGGGGGGTTATGAAAAGGGGGTGTAGTGAGGGTAGGAGTATGGGGCTAAATATTGGGGGGGGTGTGGAGTGGGTGGGAGAAGGGGGGGTCTGGGGAAATAAAGAAGGCGGGAGTCAGGGGTAGTAGGTTGGGGGGCAGTTACAGCAAGGGACAGGGTGAGGAAAGGAAGGGGGGGGGGGCTAGACTGCCAGGAGGAAAGAGAGGCAGGAGTTTGGCCCAGTAGTCACTGGGGGAAGCATTAAGGGTGTGTACTCACAAGGCTCTGCAGGATGTCCAGTTGACCAATCACAACGTATTTGAGGCGAGCACGGGCCTGGCCTCTGTTATATCCATTGTTTCACAAATGCACACAATGACTACAAGAGCTGACCCACACTCCCTCAGAGGCCAAGAATCCAGCACTTTGTGAAGCACTTGCTGAATCAATCACAGATGGTGTGTGCCCAATGGAACCTCTTCCTCCACACACCCTCCATTTACATCTGAAAATTCCACAATAAACTGTTAACCAAATTCTAAACTCCTGATGCCAGAAAACATAGTCATACAGCACAGTTTCTCCTAAATATGTACAATATATTCCCACATTAATGTTACAATATTACCAAATTAATTTTTAGGGTTATACCAAATTACCACCAGTGCAAAAGAGGAAGTCGGCCATCACCACCCATGCCCGTCATCTTCAATAACTATTCGAATGCTAAGGTTCAATATACCAGTCAGAGGACATGGAGAATGAGCCTAAAGCGATCGACATAAGGGCGAGTGTGCCCCCCATCCCCACCTCTCCCACCCTTAGCGAGTTTGTCGTACCATTCAGACGATGCCTTTCACGACAGCCCCCCACTCGGCATGCCTATTATGGCCTAAGGACTCGACACCAAGCTGGTGCATTACTGGTGGGTGAGGCACACAATGCACACTGTATTATACACACTAAAAATGTCACAAAAATAAAACTTTCAATAAAACAAATACTGTACAAATTCAATATAATCCTTTCCTAACCAAATGATTATTGTTCCCATTTAAAACTACAGTATCCAGATATTCTTTGCCAAATAATTATGACTCCAATTCAAGATTTTTTAAATTATCTGTATTCAAATACCAGTTGTATATGCACTTGCACGTATGATCTGTATTAATGTAATTATGATACTGGATAAAAATACTGAGCAATATTTTCCTTTACTGTATTACATCCAAAAGATCCTGTCCACACCACATTGTGCTACAGTGCATAACTTACACACGTGTAAAATATTTCAGAGTTTGGATACAACCATGTAGAGCAAATATTAACCTTTCCAATAGTGTTTGTGTTGAGTTAAGTGAATGAGCAGTGTTGGCTCCAGATGTACAGTACTTGCCTCTCTTCTCTATACTCCACCACAGTGTGACCCTCGTCGCCATATTATAATTATAATGCTGCGATGAACAATGCTCTGCCTTATCTCCGCTCCCTTCACCAACCCTCTCACCCACACCATCACACCCATACCCCTCTACTACACCCTCACTCCTACACCCTCTCTCACCCTCACCCCTGCACATCCCTCCACCCCACCCCTGCACATCCCCCCACCCCACCCCTGCACACCCTCTCTCAACCCCCCCCCCCTACACACCCTCTCTCAACCCTCCCCCCTTGCACACCCTCTCTCGACCCCCCCCCCCCTTGCACACCCTCTCTCGACCCCCCCCCCTTGCACACCCTCTCTCGACCCCCCCCTACACACCCTCTCTCAACCCCCCCTGCACACCCTCTCTCAACCCCCCCCCTGCACACCCTCTCTCAACCCCCCCCTGCACACCCTCTCTCAACCCCCCCTGCACACCCTCTCTCGACCCCCCCCTGCACACCCTCTCTCAACCCCCCCCTGCACACCCTCTCTCAACCCCCCCCCCCTGCACACCCTCTCTCAACCCCCCCCCCTGCACACCCCCTCTCAACCCCCACCCCTGCACACCCCCTCTCAACCCCCACCCCTGCACACCCTCTCTCAATCCCCCCCCCCCTGCACACCCTCTCTCAACCCCCCCCCACCCTGCACACACCCTCTCAACCCCCACCCCTGCACACCCTCTCTCAACCCCCCCTTCACACCCTCTCTCAACCCACCCATGCACACCCTCTCTCAACCCCCCCCCCTGCACACCCTCTCTCAACCCCCCCCTGCACACCCTCTCTCAACCCCCACCCCAGCACACCCTCTCTCAACCCCCCCCTGCACATCCTCTCTCCACACACCATTACCACCCCCACACCACACACACTCACACACCACCCAACACAACACACATCATCACCACCACACACACACGCACACACCCCCTCACCACATAACAAATCAGTTTTCAGAAAATACAATTTTGAAGATAATGATATGAAGATTGAACAAACATAACATTCCCCGTCTCCCCCCCCCCCCCCACCCTTCCTCCTTCCCTAAACCATTTTTTAATCCCTGGCTGGATGTTTGGCCTAAGTGTAATGAAGAGGAAAATACCCAGGTAGAAGTTTGGGTTTGACAAGGATGACAGGCCGCTACCCATTCACTTGTGTACTGGCTGCCTATGATCTTGTATAAGAATGTCTATCCCAGCCTGGGACAAGGGAACATCACCTGCCCTGGGATGCCATCCCAGCCTGGGATAGTGAACCATCACCTGTCCTGGGATGCTATCCCAGCCTGGGATTAAAAGCTTTCACTGCCTTTAGGATACCCACTACTCCTAACAGGGATAAGAGAATACCATCACTCCTAGTATACCCATTAGTCCTATCTGGGACAAGAAACCACCATTTCTGGGATACCTATTATCCCAGAGATATAGCATTACCTCATGTGATGTCTATTGTTCTAGACTGAGATAATCAATATACTGTAGTTCATATTTGGATCAGGGGGCCACAAAAAGGAGATATCTACTATCCTTGCCAGGATAGGTAGGGGCCCCCAGACACTTCTATGTTGCTTTCTTGTCCTATAGTGTGAAATGACTGAAATTCAAATGTGGTTTCCATTATTATATTGTCGTTTTTTCTATAGCATATGATGCTTCCATTACCTAGCAGTAAACAGGTACCTGAGAGTTAGTCAGCTGTCATGAGCTGCTTCCTGGGGGTGGAGGCCTGGTCGAGGACCGGGCTGCGGGGACACTAAGCTCCGAAATCATCTCAAGATAACCTTAAGATCTTGAGACAAGTTGATTCAGGCCTCTTAAATCAAGATAAAATTTGTATCTTGTGATCTTCATAAAAATCGTACACTGAATCAAGAAAATATTAATGTTACCCTGCAATATTTATTCTAACTTGTGTTAATATGATGGCTTTCATGTTTGAATGTTTTGGGATGTACAGTACTCGACAAGTTCCTACCATTTTTATTTTTTTTTGCTTTCATTCTTCTTACTGATAGGCACTATAAGTTGTTTTGGCACTGATATCTGGAGACGGGCAACCTTAACCCAAGCAGTTTATAAAGATAAATCGTGTCAACAAAAAAACATGCACTGTAAGGTAATTTTAATTTTAATTACCCAAATAGCAGAATAATCAGAATGAATTCATGTTTGAGCTTTCTATCTTTTTTCGACCTTAGTCAAATAGATAGAAAATAGAAATCCGAGTTAAAAGTATACACCGAATGAGGAGCCTAAATATATTCGAGTACAAGTGCCTGACTAAACTTAATTGAAGTTCGGGTTACTGCCAAACAAGAATCCACAATAAATTTAAATTTTTGAATTTTTTGACATTCCCACTAAAATGCTGGCTAAATTGAATGTTCAGCTAATTCAAATGGCAGTGCAACCCCATATCAATTTGATTACTAAGTGTAGAAAGAAGTTCTGTAGAAATTTGTTATAAAAATTCATATTTCTTTAAAAGGCCATATAATTTTAGATGAAAAATTCTTGATAAATTATTAAGCACACAAAGTAAAAAAAAATATGTACTGTATTCTGGACAATAATTTCCAGTGAAGAAAATATATATACACCTGTAGTAGTAGTGTATATAGACAATTACAGCCAGAATGATCTGCTGCGCTAAACCACAGGGATGATACTCAAGACACACTGAAGTCAATGACATCATTAAGAGGAGCCTTACCACAGCTGAGGCCCTTCCAGGAAGAAATTTGCGTAAGAAAGGCATGAAAAGGAGAAGCTAAGTAGTGTACAAGAGAAGTACGAGCGAGTGAGACTAACACCCTCTAAGTTTCAGGCTGTATTTGACAATTTGTCAGATTTATCTAGTGAGGAAAGTGTTATTGAGACTGACACTGATGAAGGTAGCGAATGTATTGAAACAGAGACGGCCAAGGAGGATTTTGGTAGTGATGGAAGTGACGAGTCTGAGGTTGAGATTGCCACTCGTGCACGGCGAGGTACAGTACTGGAGCTCGTGCCAGAGCACAAGTCCATACCACAAGGCCAAAAAGTTGACAGACTTATCAAAGTTCGCTCAGTCATGCAATATCTCATAAATAGATTCGAGACATTATACATTTCCCAGAAAATTTTTAGCTTGACTGAAGGGACAATGGCATGGCATGGCCGTCTATCTTTCAAGACCTATAATCCCATTAAACCTGATAAATATGTAATAAAGCTCTAAATGCTAGCTGAATCCAAGACTGGCTACATTTTTTATTTTGAAATTTATTCAGGAATTGGGAAAACAACGATAGAAACCGTAATGGGCTTGATTGAACCACTGAAGAACCAAGATTACCATTTATATATGGACAACTATTATAATTCGGTTCGGTTGAGTGAATTGCTGCTTGAAGTAGGGGTTACACCTGTGGTGCCATCAGAATGCAGCATGGTGCACCTAAAACCCTTCAGATGCAAGCAAAGGATAAAGTGCCGGTAAATAAAACGTTATTCAAATGCAAGGACAATACTTTCATAATTTTCTGGAAAGATTAACGAATTGTTTCACCGATAACAACTTGCCGCAATGCAGATACACAACAAGTTGAACGTAGAAAATGAGTACGGAATCGTGATGGAACATCCTCAGTGAAACAGGTAACTGTCAACAAGCCGAATGCAATCTGTGACTACAGTACAAACATGAAAGGTGTTGATCACTTTGACCAAATGGTCAAATATTATCACTTCACAAGGAATAGTCACAAATGGACCAAGAAAATTACTTTCTATTTTTTGCAAATGGCTATACATAATGCTTATGCGTTGTACAAAGAATACACCACAGATAGAAGGAAACTGACATTACTCCATTTCCACGAACAAGTCATTTCGGCACAACTGTTCTTTAAGCCTAGTAAATGGCCTCAGGAAAATGATGACATCCCACATGCTGCTGATGTCAGTGCCGCTGGAGCCAATGCTGCAACACCAGGACCTTCAACACCCGGACCTTCAACACCCGGACCTTCAACACCCGGACCCTCAACACCCGGACCTTCAACACCCGGACCTTCAACACCAG